CCATAAAAACAACACCTACTCCTGCAATTCATTCACTCTGAATCACAAAACTCACAAAGTTACTAAAACATCCCCAGATCACCTCATTTCCCCTACCAATCCACCCTCACAGTACCCAGTATATCAATCATAGCATTCCTGCTATTATTTCTGTATTTTTCCGTATTTTTATTGTCCATCATTCTATCCCTATTCACCTATCTATCTGCCCTAGCCCCAGAGCCCATGCCTAGCCCCATACATCCTCCCCATACCCTGCATACAGCTATCCTAGCCCTAGTGCACAATTACCACCCATTTTCCTACCCTACCCTACCCACTATCCTACCCCCTACCCATCCCCAAACCACCCTCCCTACCCCAGGGCCACCCCACACCCATCCCCACATTTTTTCACACATTTTTTGCCTATTTTCTGGCCCATTTTTCCGGCCAGAATAGCCACCAGCAGGATTGCTCTTTATAAAGAGCCCTTATTAGCCCAGGCTCATTAATATAGTGGGCTCTTTGCAAAGAGTCCCAGTCTTACTATAGGGACTCTTTATAAAGGTGGTACAGCTACGCCTGTACGGGCATGGGTAAGGCTACACACAGTAAGTTCGATGAGTGTTGAAGTACGAAAGGGCAAAAATGGAGTAAGTACGTACGCGCGAAGCTTGATCTGCCCCCCACAGTTCGGCATAGGACCAGCAAGGATGACGGTGGTGATCAAGCCCATCTTTTTGAAGACAGCATTAACCATCGACTCAAGAAGGACTGCCGCACAATCAATGTAGCTAGTTCAAGAGGAGCGGATTGAGAATCGTTGAAAGAAACAGAAAAAAAGAAAGATATGAAATATATAGCGTACTGTTGGTACTCCTCCGGTGTCTGCTCCGAGGATGCAGCCTCGATCGGGGCATCCTTCACCTTCGAAGACTCTTCCTTCGCCTTCAAATACTCTGCCTCTCGCTTGGCCTCCAGCTCAGCCTTGAACTTGTCCGATTCTTCAGCCCAGGCCTCCGCGGCTGCCTCCATGATTGCAGAGATAACCAGCGGGGTCTTCTGACCTTCTGAGCGGCCAGAGTCGACAAGGGCCTCCCAATCCTGCTCGTGTCAACACTGTACGATCCGATATCGTATAGCGATGCGGTCGTTCCAGTGCTGTTTGCTGTAGTACTGCAGCAATGTTTTCTTGCGTCCTGGGCCTTGCACATCCGTAGAAGACATGCCGAGGAACTCAGTGAGTGCGGCTGCGGGATCAGCCACGACTGACAATCGTTTCATGCGTGCACAAAACCAGTTGGAGAACATCTGCAAAAAAAAAAGGAGAGACAGAACAACAAGGAAGCCCAAATATGTCAGTAAAGAGCATATCGGGAGACACAAATGCGACGTACCTGGTGGCAGGCCCTATTATCCTCCTCCCGCGCCTTCTTCTGCTCATTCGTCAACTCCTCCACTGCATCCGAGTCCGGCACGGAAAGAGCCGCCTTCTCGTTGACCTCGCCTTCTGGATCTTCCCGTAAAGAAAGGTGTCATCCAAAGACCTTGCGCCAAATATAAAGGAATCGAGTGTAGAAGCTCTTCCGGTCGGTGCTGGCAAGGCAATCGGCGAGGTGACTTTTGAGGAAGGCAAGTTTTTGTGGAGGCCATGACGATTTGTGGCCCGGTTTCCCTCTCTCTTTCGGATTGAGCTTCCGTGCACGTTTGGGACCGTTGCACGCCGGAAGATCCTGTGGGGAGGTCGTGGGAGTGGAAGGTCTGGTTGTAGAAGGTGAGCTCGTGGACGATGATGTAGCCGTGATATCTGGAGTGGTCGAGGTGGAAGCCGATAGGTGTGTAGAAGACAAAGCCGCGGCATCAGGAGAGGATGTCATGGGAGCAGTCGAGGTGGAAGTGGATGAAAGCAACGAAGCCGTGAGATTGACAGTTGTTCCAGAAGCTGATGGGGTGATTGCGGTGCACACAGGGAATATCTGGTCAGTGACACCAGCAGAGGCGCTAGGATGAGCAGCCGCAGAGTTGGTGTCTTCAGAATTGACCTGAGGAGGAGCCGGTTCTGCCATGTCTGCCAGAGAGAGGAGAAACGGAGAGAAATCCCAGTTTGGAAAATGAAAATGAAAATAAAACAAACATCCACAACGTGTCGATGCGTCTACGCGTGCCGTGTGTTGAGTTCCGAGGTTGCCCGAAGAAGTATCACACTTTGCCGAGCACTGAAGCGCGGCTTATAATAGTCGCCGGCAATCATCTTGGCCATCATTCCTCATGTCTTCACGATGTCCCCTCTTCCCTCTCGTCATTCCTGTTCCCTCCCATCTCTCTCTCTCCCCGCTTCTCACAACAGCGAGGACAATAGCGCCTCCTCGGACAACGCGGATGATGACTCCACTTCGGAGTCGTGGGCAACAGCGTACGACAGTACAAACTATGACGGCTCAGATGATGAGGCATGGCTGGCGGTAGCGATGAGCGTCATGACGGTCGAGGCACAGCCTGGCATTCTGGGTGCGTCGTATTCCCGTCTTCCGTATTCCATCTCGTTGCTAACTGTTGAGCAAATCCGCTAGCCATCGTCCCCATTGATTCTGAATCCCCTACCCAACCGGAACTGGCTCCTCCTTTCGCGCCTTCGTCTCCCCTCCTGGCCTCATCTACCTTGTTCCCGTCCCCCTCATCCTCGTCCCCCTTGCCCTTGTCTGATGCGCATCAGGACACCTTAGTCGTTCCCGCCCCTCCCGCTCCTTTGGCCCTAACCTCACGCAGAGGGAGGCCCATATACATTTCGCCGATATGCTTTGGAAGGGTCTCGTCCACACAGAGCCGGGATATCGTGGTCAGTGACCGCTCCCATCACCGATCCCAACTCCTGCAGGCCTCCCTCTCCCTCCCGAATCCTTGTTGACAACGTATGTCGTTACGCAGGGTAGACGTGTTGGCGTGTTCTGTGATTGCTAAGCGTTCCCCTTCGTCTTCAGTGTGATTCTGACAACTATACTCACTCTTGTAACCTAGGTGTGAGGCTGTGGACCAAGTGTTGTTCATCAAGCGTGCCGTCGTCGTCTCTTACAAGAACCCACAGGACGCGCACGCTGCTTTCGCCCTCGCGATGGCGCAGGGCGTGGTTCGGGTGCGTTCTCGTTGAGTGTGGAAGTAGCGGATCAGGTGGGAGGGGGTGGATGGGTAGGGCCAGGTGAGATGTCATAGTGGAGGAGGACAATAGCGACGGTGTGGAGATAGGAGTACGTGGACTGTTTCTTTTTCTTTTTCTATTTTCTTTCAGATCTCCTCGTCGTAACCGTTCATGAACCGTCACTATCTCATCCCCATGCTCTGTACATGTGTCGCTGTCGTTTGCTGTTTGCTGCTCGTTATCCTTTCCATCTGCTTTGTTTTTTGTTTTTCTGTGACTGTTTTCTATCATGTTCTTGAATGTACATAGAATTATTCTGGGTATTCTGGGAAATACAATGTGCAGTGGCGAGGTTTGCCACATTATCCAGGTAGAGCTGCCTTCGGAGCGGAGTTCGAAAGAGCTTCGCAGCATCGCCACAAACAAGTGCCCACGTCTGATGTGTCTCTGGTAGTTGGTGCACTATGATGGACACTACGCATTCACGCGTAGCCGAATGGCCCTGCCTACCTCACGGTTGCCTCACTATTGCCTCATGCTGCCGTCGACGGCCTCTATGTTTTATTTCCCTTCTCTCTTTGCTCCCCTCTTGCTCTCCTTGCCCCCTTTCCATCTCGGCCCAGTACTCCCTCGCAAGTTGTCATTCACCTCTACGGCCTCTGCTACTTACTTCCCTATGGCTACTTCTGAATCCGATAAAGAGGCAGGCACTCCGGAGCTTGTGCAGGAGACGGTAGGAGATATTGCGGGTCCTGAGGAGGAAACAGGTACTCCTGCACCCGAGCACAAGATGAATGAAGCCGCCCTTGCGCTCAAGAAAGTAGATTTTTTCACGATCGACTGGCCCGAGGGTAGGGTGCCCACTTATCTGAACAAGGAGTATGCAAACTTTCTTCTTCGTGGTACGTTTTGTCTTCCATATTCTAGCGTCATGCGCGTTCTTACTTGAGATTTAGCTCACTATCCCAAAGCGAAACCTCACAACAAGATCAGCAAGTACTTTCAATTCGACGAAATCTATGAACAGAAATGCAAACACCAGATTCCGGAGGAGGAGTGGGCCTTGTATCTCGAGAAGATCGGGAATTAAACGGAGCAACTCTGTGATCATAAACCTCTTTTTGACTCACAACAATGCCGGTAGAGGGTACAGGAACTGGCTCGTGCTTCTGGAGGGTGTTTGTAACCCAGACCCATGCTGGCAGGTACTCGCCATCTCCACCTCCAATTCTAACCTGCAGGCTAGCGCGTGGGCTGCCAAGGACATTGTCGAGGACGCCCTGGATGCTTTTGGAGATGCAGAAAGCTGCGCCATCCTCATCAAAGGCCTCAAGAACTACCTGCAGATGTGCCTCTATGTTGTTGAGGAGCTCCGCGAAGACTGGTGGGGCCCACAAGACGATAACCCACTCCGACAGGTGTCCCTCACCAGTTGGATCCACTCCATTGCCTGCTACGCCCAGGTCCTTGATCTCCTCGCATGCAGCACTGCTCACCTGGTTGCGGCGTATGATGAAGAGGCACTAATATTCCAGGGTAACTTCTCTTGCTCTCGGTCTTTGTACTGAATCCTCTATGAAGCGTCAACCTGGAGGAGTTCCACAACCAGTTCGGGTTTGATCACGACTCCTTCGTCCCCGCATCGACTTCTTGAACTACCGGTTATATGTCGTATTCAACAGCTGCTCGCACATGGAGGTGAGTAAGTCTCTGTTCAGTATTCTCCATGGCACATCAGAGCGTCTCATTGACTGATTCATTTTATAGACATTCTTCTAGTAGAGTCAGGACATAGTGTTTTGTTTTCTTGTTCTCCTCCCCATCGTGCTGTGTATCTCGCTTTCCGTACCCCCTGTCCAGCCGTGCTTTGATCCGCTTTTCTGTTTGCATGCTTTGAACTGTCGCTTTGCTATAATGACATTTGCTTCCCCACGTCTTTCTGTGTGATCGTTTTCTACATTGAGTGTAAGAAAGCTCACAATGAATGCATGCAAGAAAGTCTAATAGTGGTAATGTACATCTCCAAGAGCTGTATCTTACCGTACAGACCACTCTACTCTGAATCAGAGGGTATGAGACGGTTTACGGGCAGCGTGAAGCCCATATATTTTACAGACAGCACGATGCCCCTATTCCGCCACAGAACTTGTGATTTCTTTTCTCGGTCTAATGAAGATACAGTGATTAATAGAAACATATTGTCTATGCATCTAGCCATCTGCTTTACGCACCTTATCTGGTAGTACGAAGCAACGAGCGAGCTGCAAGAGTAGTGTGTCCAGAGTGAGCTCGATGGCGCTCAGTGCTCAACTGCAAACACAGCTCTCATTCGACTGAGAATGTCCATTTGCAGCATAAGATAGAAGTCAACTGTGTTTATTCTTATCTGAGGACGCCGTCTTCAATACTTTATGGACTGTGTACAGTTTCCAGGTACTAAAGAGATTTTCTTGTGACAAATGTCGCAAAGTGTCTTGAGCGAACGATGCTAACGCTCCGAACTGACGCGAGTTGCACGGCTTGTTGAACCCAGAAACTAACTTTTGCTCAATTACGAAAGAACATACACAACAACTTGTCTCTATATTTTTGTGAGGACATTTTACATTGTGATACTATATCTCCCTATACTTATTTTATAGACACAGGCTGTAAACTACTTATAGCACCCCGAACACACCTGGATCAAGGTAAGTACATGAACCTGTGGCACCCACACGTCTTCGAATACATGTAGAGAAAAAATGAAGACACCTTCTACACAGGGTCTGGAGAAGGCAGCTTATTTGTCAGCAAATTGCTGTGGTGTCCTTTCCAAGGTATACCTGAGTTGTACATCTGTCCATGGGTTTCTAGTGTCGAGTAAGTAGTACAAGCACGAGTGGCGCAACACACCACTCACACTCGACAGTCAACTTTGAACTTCGAACCTGCGAAATAAGAGATTATAGTGATGGACTTACATTGTTAGCCCTCCATCTACCGCCCTTGGGATCTCCTTTCCCTGCGTAGCAGGTCAATCCATGGGTGGCCTGTATTGATGCACAACCTAGCAATAGCATTCTGGAGCCCTGATGTTACCCTCGATCACGGCGACGATCACCACTCGTCCAGACATAGCTCACAGCATCGGAGTCCTTGCTCGCTTCAGCCAGAATCCAGGTCTTCAGCATTGGAAAGCGATCAAGCACCTCTTTCGGTATCTCAAGGGCTCTCTGGACTATAAACTCACTTATTCTCCCACTTCCTCTTCCTCCACTGAGCTCTTCCACACCTACACCGACGCTGCTCATGCAGGGAATCCGGATTCTGGACGTTCCACCTTCGGTTATCTCGTCAAGATGGGCACTGGCGCTATTTCCTGGCAATCTTGCCTTCAATCCATCGTCGCCCTCTCCACAACAGAAGCCGAATACGTCGCTGCTACCACTGCTGGCCAAGAGATCCTCTTCCTTCGCAACTTACTCACTTCCTTTGGTTATTCACTCGACTCTCCCTCTACCCTCTACATTGACAATCAGTCTGCGCTTCAAGTGGCGAAGAATCCGGAGCACCATGGGTGTATGAAGCATCTGGACTTGCGATTCTATTGGTTGAGAGATGAGGTGGAGAAGGGGACGATCCGGATGGAGCATATAGGGACGGATGAGATACCTGCAGACCTTCTGACTAAACCCCTGGCTAGGGTTAAAGTGCAGAAGTTCACAAAGATGATGGGACTTAGGGCTTGAGGTCTGCCTCGTCAGGAGGGAGTGTCCGGAGTATTACGATGAGACAGAGGGAATTTTCCTGATATTTTAGCAATTTTTCCGGGACTAATAGGACCACTTACTGCAGAGTTATGACTTTAGTTATTTCGCCAGCCAGCGGGCTGCAGAGGGCCGGATTCCATGCCTCGGTTCCGCGCCTCTGCGTCCCGTTTAGGCAGGTAGTTTTCCAACTGTATAGTAGACCGGTAAGCGCCGGAGCGCGTCCTTTTAACTTGTGGGAAGCGTCCTTGTCTCTTTATCATTGACAGTGACGCTTCTCACAGGTGAGTCTTACTATAGATTTCGTCTCTTTCTTTTTCTATTACTTTGTGAGGGCAATATCATTGACAGCGACGCTTCTCACAGTCGTTCTTCGAGTGCTCGATTATCTGCGCTTCACAGACCTGGCCAAGTTGTGGGTCCGTGTTTGTGTTATATAAACCGGCCTGCAAAATTTCCCCTCCTAATTCCCGTCTCTCAGCGTCTCACCTACAACTCTACAGGCATCCTCGAGTATCTATACCCAGCCAAAGGTGCGTCAATTGATTTATTTCTCATTTTATATTATCTTTGTGTTACAACTGTGGTGCTGCGTCTTTACGTGCCCCACAGACATGTCCTCAATGCCAAACACGCGTCGTCCACATTCCTTTCTGAACTGCAGAAGCAGTAGGCCCGACAGGAGCTTTAGCATCGCGCGAAGTAGGTCGCTTTGTATTGCACGGCAGTTTAGGCTTCATTGGTACATGTCTGTAGCGGCTAGTTCATGCATCTTACGCGTTTTGACGCGTCAGAAACGCGTCAATCCCCCCTGCCATCCCTCTTCCCCTTTAATTCTTCCCAATAATGCATCTACTGATTATACACTATCTTTTTTTCATCTCAAACGCGCTCCAATCACCGACAGACACAATGTCCGGCAAGACCCACAACGGCCGCGACTTCAACGTGCACGTCCCACTACACGTTGAAGTCGACTATGAAGGCCTCGTGGCCAGAGCGTGGGATACAGCTCAGGCGCACTGGGATGCAGACGAGGAGGAGAGACGCCAAGCCCACTCTAACATGCACCCTACCACCATGACCAAAGCTCCTTCGGTCGGTGCTCTCTCACTTGAACCCACTGTCGCGATCTCTGCCCCCGTCGACGCTGCCTCCATTCACTCTGGCACCCCTTCCGTTGACACCATGTCCATTGATACTGCTTCCGTCTACACGACCTCCTCGCACGCTGAGACTCACACCGGCGTCATATCCGCTGCCCCGCAGCTCTCGCACAAGTCCAAATACTCTTGGTCCTGCTCATGCCCTGAGCTATGTGAATCCGACCTCACCGATTCCTCCTCAGGCTTCAGTAGCGATGCTGAGTCTGTCTCTCGGGCCGGATCTCGTAAGCGAAGGAGGGAGGGGTGGACCAAAGCAAGACGGGAGAAGGAGAAAGCGAGGAGCAAGGCGAAGAAGGAGAAGAAGAAGGCAGAGGGAAGGCTTTCAAGGAGGAGGACCAGTGAGAGCCAGCGGCAGAAGAAGAAGCTCAAGAGGGCTGAGTCGAGGAGGGAGAAGGAGGAGAAGGCTGAGGCCGATAACGAGGCAGGGCCGTGGCCCTCCGAGTATCGACTTCCCAAGCATGCGCTGGAGAAGTGGGGCGCCCCGATCACCGTCACTACCAATGTAGAGATGGAGAATATGTCCGTGGCTGAGGGTGCATATGTTGGGAAGAATCATCCAATTGATAGGAAGTATGGTACGGACAATTATACTGTAGAAGGTGCGCTGGCCATGGGATGTAGGCTCGAGGAATGGGACGGCGTATAAGTCCCCCGTTGCTCGTTTTCTCTCTCTTGTTCACCCTTTCTTTCTTCCATAGTACACCCCACGTGATCATCGACCAACAAAGGAGGATCCTTGGCGTCCTCGCCGGCCATGCGAATGATCCCAACTGGCAGCGTGATGTCGCCGAGCCCGCAGCTGCCCTCCTCGAGCAAACTTGCCTGGAGGGTGACGCTTTAGATGCATGGACCAATAAACAGTACGACACTCGGCGCGGGGAGTTTATGTCTGTGACGGCTGGTGTATCCTATGGTGGGGGTCAGCAGGTTCTTCTTCACGTTATGTATATCTCTCTTACTCTGCTAACTTTGACGACTCTTGTAGGACCCAGGGAACCTCAAACTGGAGAAAATCTGTCAGGTCCCTCTGGTGGGCCGCCTCCTGCGAAGCAAGCCAATAAAGTGAATGGCTGGCTTCGCAAACTGTAAGTATCATGTCATCGTCCTACATCCTTATACCATACTCATACTGTCTATTTTCATGTAGCCGCCTTCATGACCTATGCTTCAAAGCTGTATAAGCAGTACGCAGAGGAGACAGAGGCGCTATACTCGCATGATCCCAACTGCCGACGGCCGTTCAAAAACGCCGTATGGCCTGCTTGTACATTTAATTTAGGTCCTCAATGTTGTTGCCGCGGTCACTGTGACTCTGCTAACATCCCCCATGGCTGGTGCGCTGTTTGGGCCCTCGGCGATTACGACCCGACACGCGGAGGCCACCTTATCCTTCTCGAATTCGGTCTCATCATTCAGTTTCCTCCCGGCTCCCTTATTCTTTTACCCTCGAGTACCATACGTCATGGCAATACACCAGTCGGTCCTACCGAACATTGTTACTCCTTCACGATGTACTGCGCCGGAGGCCTCTTCCGTTGGGTGCATCACAGTTTTGTTCCAGAGTGGGTGCTAACGGACGCACAACACAAGGAGGCGTATGGGCCTCGTGGTTATCGATGGATGGATGCTCTTGGTAAATATTCCGTACTGGAGGACCTTGCGAACGATTATCGGGCTTGTTTTGGCAGTGGAGAGGACTTGGGCAATGTGGAAGAGGAGTCGCATGTAGACAATATTTTGTAGTTGTTTTCCCTACGCTTTCCTGTATATTGCTTCATTTGTTTGTTTTGCTTTGTCTGCATGTCAATCATGTTGTGTTTTATCTCTGCTTCGAGTGTTGCAACAGACTGCCCATTCACCCTTGCGAAACTTGAAGGTTCCAAGTGCGAGTACGTGTTTGACAGAAGGTATGTTTGTTGATATCCCATGCTTGTGCCACGCCTTGTCGATGTAACGGACGTTCTGTGTGGTACACCTCTCGCCCTTGTCTATGGGTCCTAAACGACGACCTGCTGATCTCCTTGATCCTGAAGAATAGTACCGTGTTCTGACATCTACGACAGATGTCAAGCTGCTCGAAACCTCAAAGGATGGTAGAACTCGGCGACTGCGTCCTCGGAGGGACATCATCCCTACCAAAGTCACCTCTCATGATTCGGTATTCGAATGGTCCCCAATCAGGATGACCTAACACTCCCTCCCCCTCCAGACCTTCCTTTCGATCCGGAGGAGATATCTCTCTCCGCACCTAAACCTCCCGAGATCCCAGGTTTGATTTTGAAGACCATCCAGCACATGAAACACTATCTAAACTGGGTACGTCCCACTCTCTAATGGTAATAGAGTCTATCTGCTTACAAGGCCCACTTTTCCTGCTTCACTAGGATGTTCCTCTGTATACCTGGCTTCGTTTTCGCCAGGACTACCTCGACAAGTTGATGCGTTCCGAGGGGCGGGGCTTTTCGTGCGGACAGAACACATGCAGTCGGTGTCATCGAGCTGATATCCTGTATCGTTGTAAGGACTGCAGCGGTGGGGAGATGTTCTGCAAGGGCTGTACGGTGGAGGAGCATTCGTTGCTCCCCCTACATATTGTCGAGCTGTGTTCTATCCATTCATCCTATCTTACTCTCCATCTAAACCTGTTCTTTTATTTTTATTTTTACGAAGAAATGGACCGGCAGGTTCTTTCGCAGGGTTCGTCTCGCATCGTTGGGTTTGCAGATGCAGCTCGGTCATCCACCCGGAGAATCGTGTGTATGCTTTCACCCTGGCAACAAAGACTTCATTGTCCTCCATACCAACGGCATCCACCAGGTCGCGATCGATTTTTGCAGCTGCTACCAGAAAGCTGACCATTGGCGCCAACTTGCTCGATACCGATGGTATCCCGCCACACCGCTCAATCCCCAAACATGCACGACGTTTGAGCTCCTCCGGTTATTTCAGACTATGAACCTCCAGGGCAAGATCACCACCTACAACTTCTACCATGGCCTTGTCCGACTTACTGATGGGTATGGCATCGAGCCTCCTCCGGTGCGTTCTTTTCGATCGGTGCTCCAGCTGTGTGCTTACCTTGTGTGCTTTACTTAGGACCGTCTTCCTTCCTTCATGATTATGGAGCAGGAGTGGCACAACCTCTTGCTTCTGAAAAGAGCGGGGGTGGGGTTAGATCTGAGCGGTGTCAAAGGCACGAAGCAGGGTGCGTTAGCAGTACAGTGCCGAGCCTGTCCCATCCCCGAAGTCAATATTCCGAAGGGTTTTGAATGTGCACCAAGGGAGGAAGCGTAAGTTTTCCTTATTTTTGGTCTTGATGGTCCGTATATTGACTAGCGGTTCCTATGTGGCTCTATCGCCTCCTTCTAGCCCAGGATGCAAACTTTTGTCTCAAGGGGAGGCTCCGCAGGACGTCTGTCGCCGACATATCTCTCACCAACGGACTCGCCTATTTCGTCGAGGACAAGGCGTACAAGGCCTTTCTCGAGACAAGGAAAGACAAGGATAACAATTTGGTATGTCGCACTTTTCTTATTTGTTGCTGTTAATCATGTCTAAACCTAATCTAGCTTAGCAACTGTGTACCTTTCAACACCATCTTGAAGGCCAACAAAATGGGAGCCAAAAGCCTCACAGATACCGGCATCAGTGCCGTCCGTTGCGGACGGCACGAGTGTATCAGACCGAACGGGATCGGAGACTTACAGAAGGGCGAGAGGTACGTATCTTTCAATTAGTCCTACATATACGCAGGCTCCTCACCTGGTGTTTAGGTATGCAAACATGGATTACATCTTTTTGGCCAGCATCATCGGCATCATGCTCCTCGCCCTCATTTCCTCCTACGATATAGGCTGCCAATAGAGCATTAATTTCTGGGAACGGATGGCAGAGATGCCTGACTACCTGCAAATTTCTGACTGTGTCGTCAATGTTCTCTTCATTGTCCCGGCATTCTACCTCGAGGCCCATATCAAAAAGTGCAAGCCCCTTTTCTCTCCGCGGTTTTCTCGCTGGCTCACGCAGACGGAGTTCGAGGCGATCGAGAGGATATGGGCGATCCTAAACGGTATAGCGTCCAGCACCAGGGAGATGAGGCCTGGACACCAACGCGATACCATTGACGACTTCTGCGGGCACGCGAACTGGATGAAGACCATCAAACTTGGTGAGTACCTTATTCTCATTGATTGTTAGCCTGGTAAACGGCTAACCCGTCTTGTTTCTCCCTTCTACCATAGATTCGAGCTTACTCAGAAAGCTAGTCGTCACCATACCCGCCGTGTTAGACCACCGAGCAGCTTTACGAGGATTCGAGGAGAATTTAGGGAAGGAGGCTCCAGCGGTCTTTGCATCGTGGGTACGGATGTATGAGGATTGGGAGGAAGGCGAGGATAAAGCGGTGGGCTGTCCATTTATAGCACCTCGACAAGATAGGCTCCTTTGTATCTCCTCTAATATGAATATTTCCTCTCACTCTCTTTCTGATAGAACTTACCATGGGGGAGGTCCGCCTCCGTCTCACTCAAAAGGAGCAGGAACGCGGTGTTATGTCCATACGGGGGCGGGACAACTCGGGTGAATGTGCTTTTATTGTTCTTGGATTAGACATAGAGGTACAACAGTGCGTCTTTTTTGTTTTTCTCTCAAGTTATCTCTCAACCAATCACGGAGATCCAGAGCCCAGCTCCAAGCAGACTTGAAGATGGCCAAACATGCGACACATCTACAGCGTGCGGACCTCGAGGATCGCCGAAGCTCAGTTTATCGCCGAATCCAACGCCTTCGGGACCTCCAAACCCATCTCATGCCCGACCTTTGATTGAAGCTCGATATGACCGAACAGGTCTTCAAGGGTCGTCGATCCGAAGCCGAAGCCATCCCCCTCTACCTTCCTTCCAGTCTCCCTCCCAAAATTCGAGCAGAAACTTGCTCCGGCGACCTGATGGATGCAGAACGGCAACTCCATGAGGCCGAGGCTTTCAACGCGCTGGAGAGCCTTTGAAACCACCTTTGAACAAAGACTTTCATGAGCCGGTACAAGATCTCGAACATTACCGGACAAAGGATGGATACACGGGCCCAGGAGATTCTCGTACGTGTAGAGGGCCACCTCCATCTTGTCAAGCTTCGTTACCAGCATGCGAGAGCAGCTGTCATGTCGCTTCTCGGGGAGCAGAGGTGGATGGAGATCGGGATCGGGTCAAAGCTTCGAGAGCTACAGGACGAGGATGTCAGGGGCTTGAGCGATGCGGTGTTGAAGGAGGCGGACAAGGCATCCATGGAGTTTTCCTGGCAAAAGGCTGCAGCTGGGAACACCACACTCGCCACCACCCGGCTTCTGAAAGAGGTCTCAGAGAAGCAGATGAAGATGTCGTGGATATGGACAGCGGTTGACATCCGAGAGGACGGTTCGGATCCAGGGTTCAACGATGGTAAGGATCTTCTTTTCGTCCCTTTTGCGATGGAGACTGATTAAATACTAGCATTATGGATTGAGTGGGCAAAAGCAAGGGCTCGGGCCGAACGTTGGACCGAGGAGGTTCAGCTGGTCTCTGAGGAGATGAGGCAAACCATCGAGTATTGTAAGTGGAGAAAGGTGTGGTGGGAGGCCAAAATTGGGGCCCGCAAGGATGTGGTACCGGAGCTCGCTAACGGCCCGTCAGTATATGCTCTCCAGCATGTAGACCTGGAGGATCGGATGGCTCGGAACCTAGAGGAACGATGAGAGGCTATTCGCAGCCGTGCAAAGAACCTCATAGGCTGTGGTTTCGCGGAGAACAACCAGGAGGAAGGGGATAGCTCTGTGCCCGAGCCGTCAGCTACTGTGTTTTTAAACTTACGAGATCTTCAGGTGCTGGTTGATGATGAGGATGAGGGTGGTGATGACGAGGGTGATGATGACGATGATGAGGAGGGAGTCGAGGATAATGAAGACTTGACGAACAACTGAGCACTTTTTCTTTCTTCTCCTCTATGTATGGTAGACCTTTAATATATCATTATTACCTTCTGTATTTACATTTCTCCTTGTCTATGAGATTGGTATTAGCAAGAGGGACATTAGAATCCTTTTCTGGTGTGTTAATAACAAGAGAAAGTCCCCAAGGGTGATGTGGACACTCTGCGGGGTGTCGGTATGTTTTTGAGCTTCAACCAAAAACACCTAAGTCGCGAGATGTGGCACCGGATGTGGCACCGGTGCGCGCCACATTCACAGAGTCAGAGCGACACACATTGTGCTCTTTGTTTTTATGGACCGTCAAATGTATATACACCATCAAGTAGGATATAAGCTCATTTTTACATAGGTCTGAACCCGGTGCTGCAACTGAAAACAAATATTTCCTGAAAGCTAGACCATGTGGCCCTAGTGGCCTAGCGATGTTTTAGCTAACCCCGCCCCTGTTCAGTACCATAAAGCAGAGGGTACCTACGTAAAATTATATAGACCTAAGAATTAATTGAACTACATAGCGTAGGGCCCTATGAATAATGTGGAGCAGGGACATCAGGAAATCCGGTATCTGCTATATAGCCGGTGTGTTTTCCCACCCCTGATTTGATAGCAGAACCTACGCTCTGAGAGCTCTGAGAGCACTCATATCAGTATGAGTAAACACTCTATATCATTAACTTGTAGGACTATCTATACAGCTACTACCATGTCCATGAATCTATATTACCCTGTTTCACCTCAATAGAGATCTCTTACATGAGAGTGCTACCAGTCACAAGTGTCACAATGTCACAATTTTTGCTGGCCAGCCAGCAATTTGGGCCACACTTCTGCTCACATGTCCAAGCATCACTTCCTGACAAAATTAGGTATTGAGATTGACAGTATGGAAAGACATGATGATATATAAGCTACACAAGATAATCAACAATAATAGAAGCAGAGTCTGA